TAAGAACACACAGCAATCCAACTCAACTGGTCTGAGCAAGGCGATCTCGGTCCCAATCTCATGGTGCAAGAACTCTGTGCTAGTTTCTAGTTACTGCTCATCGCTGGTGCAGTTTGTGACTGTTAGATGCAGACCATTTTTTTACCATGGGAATTCACCACTGTCTTTATAGTCAGAGTGTAAATTCCCCCAGTGCTAATGCTAAGGAGGCGCACTGTGAACTGTATGGGGCTATTAGCGAGCTGCAGAATTCACACCCTGATGGATTGTTTATTGTTGCCAGAGATTTCAACCATGCAAATCTCACGTCAGTGCTCCCTAAACTCCATCAGCATGTTGATTTTGCAATGAGAGGGGCTAACACACTGGATCTTGTTTACACAAACACCCCTGGCATGTACCAGGCGGAGCCCCACCCCTACCTCGGCTGCTCAGACCACATTTCTGTTATGCTAATCCCCGCTCCAAACCAGTTCTGAAGCAGGTGAAAACCTGGCTAGCAGCACTGACTGGCACATGTTCGGGAAAGCTGCAACTGACAGAAACTTCACCAACCTGGAGGAATACATGGCATCAGTGAACAGCTACATCAGCAAGTGCACTGATCGTCTCCAAGATCATCACATGCTCCAACCAGAAGCCATGGATGACTGCAGAGGTGCGTGCACTGCTGAGGACCCAAGACTCCACCTTCAGAGCAGGCGACAAGGTGGCCCAAAGTACAATGAGGGCCAAACTGTCCCGGGCCATCAGAGAGGCAAAGCCCACACATGCACAGAGAATCCACAGTCACTTCAAGGACAGCGGTGACACGCGGCGCATGTGGCAGGGCATCCAAGCCATCACCAACCACAGGACAACATCACCTGCCCGTGACAGTGATGCCTCCCTTCCAGATGCGCTGAACAACTTCTATGCTCGACGTGACTGCAAGGAAGAACATCCTTCCTCCCAACGAACAAGTGCTGTGTCTAACCATGGCTGATGTGAGGAAAACTCTACACAGAGTTAATCCACGGAAGGCTGCTGGACCAGACAACATTCCTGGCAGAGAGCTTAGAGGATGTACAGGCCACCACCATCGTCCCCATGCTCAAGAAGTCTTCAGTCTCCTGCCTCAATGACTACCGTCCAGTTGCACTCACACCCATCATCATGAAGTGCTTCAAAAAGCTCATCATGTGGCACATAAAGACCCTCCCCCTTCCCCACTGGACCCCCTGCAATTTGCGTATCTTCTCAATCGCTCAATAGATGACACCATCACCACCACCCTCCATCTGGCCCTTACCCACCTGGACAAAAAGGACAAGTACAATCGAATGCTGTTCATAGAGTTCAGCATTCAACACAATCATTCCTCAGCACCTGACTGGAAAGCTGAACCTGCTGGGCCTGAACACCTCCCTCCACACTGCACTGGATCCTGGACTTCCTGACCAGGAGCCCTCAGTCAGTCCAGATTGGGAACAGTATCTCCAACACCACCACACTGAGCACTGGGGCACCTCAGGGCTGTGTGCTCAGTCCACTGCTGTTCACTTGGCTGACTCACGACTGTATAACAATGCACAGCTCAAACCACATCATCAAGTTCGCCGATGACTCAACTGTGGTGGGTTTCATACAGAGAGCAGGTGCAGCAGCTAATGGACTGGTGCAGAGCCAACAACCTGTCTCTGAAAGTGGACAAAACTAAAGAGATGGTTGTTGACTTCAGGGAAAATCACTCTCTGCTGAACATCGACAGCTCCTCTGTGGAGACTGTTAAGAGCACCAAATTCCTTGGTCTTCACCTGGCTGAGAACCTCACCTGGTCCCTCAACACCAGATCGATAACCAAGAAAGCCCAGCAGCGTCTCTGCTGTCTGCGAATGCTGAGGAAAGCCCATCTCCTATCCCACATCCTCACCATGTTCTACAAAGGTACTATCAAGAGCATCTGAGCAGCTGCATCACTGCCAGGTTTGGAAGTTGCACCGTCTCAGATCGCAAGACCCTTCAGTGGATAGTGAGGACAGCTGTGAAGATCATGGGGGTCGGGGTCTCTCTTCTCTCCATCATAGACATTTACACAACGCACTGTATTCGCAAAGCCACCAGCATTGTGGATGAACCCATGCACCCCTCACACAACTCTACACCCTCCTGCCATCTGTCAAAAGGTACCAAAGCATGACTGTGTATCAGTTCTTTCCCCCAAGCTATCAGACTCCTCAATACTCAGAGACTGGACAGACAACACACACACACACATACTCAACTGAACACCATCCCACTCTCTTTGCAATTTTTGCACATTTCTGTATTTACTACCTACATTTTTGTTTTGCTGCTACTATATAAAATATTGTATGTAATTTCTTTTCATTACTATACTCTCTACCTGGCTGCTACACCAATAACTGCTATGTCCATGTATAGTATAAGCTTCTGCCGAATACTATGTCACATGTTATGTTTACATTCACAGTAATTTATTATATTGTTATTCTTTTGCACTACTGTTATTATCTGACACTTTCATACTAGAACTGTGTACTGTCTGTGTAGTCAGTGCTGCAATGACTCTTACTGTGCCTATTGTCCTGTTTTAGTAGTTATTGTACTGTTTTAGTAGTTATTGTACAGTCTTTTGCTGTTAAGCACACATTTGCACATACTTTTTGTAGTAATGTGTAGTCTCTTGTAGTTCTCTTTTTTATGTAGCACCATGGTCCTGGAGGAAGGTTGTTTCGTTTCACTGTGTCCTCTACTAGCTGTATATGATTGAAATGACAATAAAGCCACTTGACTTGACTTGACTTGATTTGTTCCAAGAGAACTCTAGTGCAGTTTGATTGCAAAACCAATTCAATGCTTTATCAGCCTAACTGCAGAAAGTGAACCAATCATGCTGTGTATTTTGGGGTGCAGGAAGCATTTTATTTTGTTGATGTGAGCTGCTAAACTGGCCCCTGAGTCAAAAAAAACAGAGCTGTAGCACTGCAGAAATATGACATGCATTTTAAATTAGTTATTTATATAATTATGTAAACATTTATTTAGCACTGTCTCTGTGCTCAGTCCTTGATTTTTGTGATTTTTGTGACGTGCGCTTGTCAAAGTTTGTTTACATTTGTTCTGTTTCTTTATTTCTGACCAATCAATGAATAGTTCTACTTCCTTACATTCCAAATGGGCAAGGCGATTTCCTTCGGGAACTAGTGGAGTTTTCCTCATTTCCGTGCCTTGTGAAGGTGACCTCACATGTATAACCTATAAAGGTCTTCCATGCTCGTCCTCTGCCCCATTCTCTTTCAAGAAGTTGACATTTATTCATTGACAATGTATGTAGCGTTCTAATTCTTTGATTATTTGCTAATCTTATTATTGTTAGCTAATATTTACAGAATGATAGTTCTAATACATGTCATTACTGACTACAGACAGAGAGTAGCTAATCTTAAAATCTTAAAAAGCCTATACAATTAAAGCATAAAATTATACTGCTTGTGCATTTCAGAACAGCAGGGTGAGCTATTTGTTCCCCCAACCCCTGGTGGAGTTGGACAATGGACATCATCAAAGTCCAAATTGTTTGGGAGCTGAACACCTGCCACTAGCACTTACGGAAACCTGCCTAACCATACAGGCCAAATGCTGTTAATGAAAATACAACATTGCAGTGAAATATAGACCCTGAGTAAGCTTAGTATCACCCCCTTGCATACACAGACAAACCCTGATGTGTTTCAGTGGTAGCATCTTGTTCTGCACTTGAGGCAGTCTTTGGCATAGAGTGCTGGTAGCTTGTCATCGAAGCAGACTATAGAACGGAGTATAAAGCAGGAGTGTAAAGCATAGCGGCTGTATTGAATGGTCTATAGACTGGTGTAAAGCCACCTTGGTAAAAAAATTAAAGTTGGATCCTCAACCCAAGACAACTGGACAAGTGCCTAATGCATTTTGTAGTATATCTGCCCATGCAAGTGGCTGGGCTATTCCACAATCTGTAATCATAATCAACCAATTATGCTCTTATAATCATTCCAGAAATGAAAGAGCAGTCATACAGGCTGTAAGAGCATGCAGAAACCCTAGGCATGAGACCAATGCTTCTGGTGGAGAGACCGGTTGCCTCATTAATAGTACATTCTGATGAATGTTTGTGCATAAAACTCTGTATATAAAAGAGCTTACATGCTGGTTCGTAACACATATATAATACACTGGTGAGTGTAAGGTATGTCACCAGTACAACAGCACACTTGCTATTTGCGCTTATGGAAATAATGCCACAGCACCAGATGCAATGGATACAGAGATCTTATAGACAGCACGTTAAGTTATGGGAGCCATGGCAACATGGTGACAACATGTCACATCACCTAAAATGTCTCAAATGCCATTATCTAAACATGCTGCACCAGCTGCTGGGTACCTGGACAGGTCTTTGGTGTACAGACCTAGGAAACTTTCTGTGGTTGCCTCCTTCTCTCTGAGACGAGAGTAAAACACATGACACAACATATTGCCATTAAGCACTCGTATGCACAAGCATATTATTTCAAAGACTGCAACAGTGGATTGAATTAGCTACACAGGATTCAGTGCATGCCAAAGTGCTATTGGGGACACTTTGGTGCTGCCATACCATCCCCAAAACACAAAGCAGGTATCAGAACAGGGTGTGATCAAGCCTCTAAAGCAAATTTTGCTGGAGGAGCCCAGTGTCATCTCTGAAATCAGTAGGCTGTGACAGTGTGACAAGGATGGTTATCCCCTCTGCAACTAGAGCATTGAAGCTTGATAATGTACCAGTGGCTACTGGCCACATTCACCCAAACCAATTGGTTACATTGATTGCAGACGTGCAAGCGCTACTAGAAAAGCAGGCAAGAGAAATAGTACACTAGAAACCAGGACAAGAAAGACAACAACCTGTTAAATAACAGTTGTTCGACACAAAATAACTTCTTGCTGTTAGCTTTTTCATCCATGCTAGCTTGTCAGGTTTAGGGGATATAGTTCAGTGGTATAACCCCTGCTTTTCATGTATGTGGTTCTGGGTTCAATCTCCAAAAGAGACCTCAATTGTATTGAAAAACAGTGCACATGAGGTCCCAGCAATCTCTGCTGCTATTGGTGAGGTAGTTTTGTTATGCCCTTATTGCATTTGGCACCTTTCAATTTGAGACCAACAGAGCAAATTCTGTGTTCCAATGTGCAGCACTGCAGCGGAGCACTGCTTGAAACTCAACGGCCAAGTGCTGTGGAGAACATCAATGTCTAAGCTGCCTTATGTTACATTGACGCCCACTGTTTAGCTGTTCCTCGTCAGCATACTGATCATTGTTTTAAGTTATCTCATCAGATAATCACCTAAAACCTTTTTGCTGTGCTGGGATGTGTCACTGCTGATGCGTTTGGATCAGATTGGATTAGGTAAGTCAGTTGTGTTGAAGAGGGGTCATGAACCAGAAATAAATGCTCAGAAAAAGTCTGTCCAGCATGCAGCCGAAGAATTTTGTGTGCAAAATGCCAGTGCTATGGCATGTACCAGCAGGAGGTACGTAAGACCCAGTCATGAAAAATGTCTGAGCCTAGCTCTTTGACCGATAGCGAAGCAACAGGTATTTTCACTGCTTGCTTGGGGTCATAGTGGTGTCTTATGGTTCTGGGTACACTGTTAATGCCATGTCTTAGTTGTTTGTTGATCTACATGGCCCAACCTAGGGGATGTAGCTCAGTGGTAGAGTGCATGCTTTGCATGTATGAGGGCCTGGGTTCAATCCCCAGCATCTCCAAAGGAGGCCTTTGTCGCATTGGCAAAAAAAAAAGTATAAGCATGGGCCTAGCATTTATTGCTAAAGTAGCTCTGTTATGCCCTTATTGTAAAGCAAATTTTTCTCCAAAGCAAGATTTTATAGTATTGAAAAACTGTGTAAGCAAGGTCCCAGCACTCTCTGCTGCTAGTGGTGAAGTAGTTCTGTTATGCCCTTCTTGCATTTGGCACCTTTCAATTTGAGACCAACAGAGCAAATGCAGTGTTAAAATGTGCATTTCATCATGCAGCCGAAGAATTTTGTCTGCAAAGGACCCCTGCTCAGGCATGATGGCCAAGTGCGAAGGAGTCAGTCTTGGAAACCAAATTTCAAGGGGTTACTCCGCATTCGTGCCTTGAAGAAGCCAGTTGCTCTCATGTTCTCATTCTCCCCATGGGGCAATAAATAACATTTGTTTGACACAAAATAACTTCTTGCTGTTAACTTATGTCACCCAAAGCTACTGTTCAGGCATGATGGCCAAGTGGAAATGTGTTGTTCTTTTAAACTGAAGATTATGGGTTCAATCCCTGTTTGTGCCTTGTGGAAATGTTCACATTCTCCCCCTGTGGGATAAATAATATCTGTTAGACCCAAAAAAAATTTCCATCACTCCTACCCTACATAATTGGATCAGAAAGCTCTGTTGTGTTGAACAGGGCTTCTAAACCAGAAGTATATGTCCAGATAACTTCTGTCTGTCATGCAGCAGAAGAATTGTGTGTGCAAAAGGCCAGTACTACGGCATGTACCAGCAGGATGTACGTAAGCCCCAGTCATGATAAATATCTTAGCCTAGCTCTTTGAGCAATAGTCTAGCACCAGGTATTTTAGCTATTTGCTTTGGCTCATAGTGGTGTCTTATGGTTCTGAGCATGTCTCAGCAGTGTCAACACACTTCTGTGCACACTGTCACTGCCTTGTCATATTTGTTTGTTGTTCTTGACTGTTACAATTTTCCTCCTCTCTTTAAAGCTGAGATGGTGGAAATGCTCATTTTCCTGTCTTTTTTAGGCTAACAGTTCTGGACAATTCAATCGTTTTACATAATATTTTAAAATAAAAAGAATCACAATCTGGCAAAAATCGATATTGCGCAAACCTAGTAATAACCCTGTCTCCCTTTGTCCCAGGGAATACTGTATAAATACTAAAATGTTTGTATGATGCCCAAATTCAGCATCATATCAATTAGTTTTCATGGGAGTAAGGCATAGTGGGTGAGATACACTATATGGCCATCGGTATGTTGATACCTGACCATCAAGACCATATGAGTCTTCTTCAAATTGTCGCCCCAAAATTGGAAGCACATAATTGTCTAGAATGTCTTTGCATGTTGTAGCATCAAGATTTCCCTTCACGGGAGCTAAGGGGCCCAAATCTGTTCCAGCATGACAATGTTCTTATGTATAAAGAGAGCTCCATAAAGCTATGTTTGGTGTTGAAGAACTCAATTGACATGCACAGAACCCTCACCTCAACCCCACTGAACACCTTTGGAATGAATTAGAATGCTGACTGCGACAAACCTTATCAACCAATATGAGTGGGCAACCTCACTATTGCTTTTGTGGCTTGTTCCTTAGTTAAATTTGGTATATTGACATTGCTGAGGAAGATGCTGATATATTCTGAATCTGGGTTCTTCAAGTATAATAGAGAGGCAGTGGGACGCATGTACAAGTTATTCTAATATAATCAAGGGGTCATATTTTTAACCCAGTCTATCTGCCCATAAATAAGCAGTTTATCTACAGATATAAATGCTCTCTTTCCTTTGTTTATCACCTTTTTTTTTATGATGGTGAGCAGTTTTTTCCGTCAGTAAAAAACTCATTTATTTTCATTTCTCCAAGCTTATTATAATTTCCTTGTGTTCCTTGTAATATTCTACTTCTGCAATGGTCACTTGTGGGTATCCATTGTGTTTTGTTTTTCCTCCTAGGTGGTGGATTTAGTGGAATGTTATCTTCATGGCTGTTTCAGGTAAAATTTTTAGTTTGATCATAAATTCCTTTATGTTATTAAGTGTTATTAAGTGTTGTGAAGCATGAGGGATGTAGCATCTTCAGTAGACCCATTTAAGCTGTATGCAAACTGGAGAACGTGAGCTGTATCTGGGATGATGCTTTCAATTTGCCCAAGTGCCTGCCTTTCGAAGTACTTCAGTACAACCAGGCGATTGTCATTAAGGCATTCCACCTCATTTCACTTTAGTATGGGGATGATATAGTGGTGTTTTTGAAGCAGACATGGAAGTTACAGTTTATTAGAGATTTATTAAATGAAAGTTTCAGTGAACAAGCTAACTTTATCACAATCTTGGAACAGAATTTACATGCACAGACTATGAAAACTATGCTAAGTTTGTGAAAAAATAAGAGAAAAAAATAACAGAAACAGAAAGGGAGAGAATATTTTACCTGCTAGGTGTGAGAGGAGTTTCAAGCTCTGAAGCTAACATACACTATATGGCTAAAAGTGCGAAGACATCACACCCCTTAGTTCCAGTGAAAGGAAATCTTAATGTTAAAGCTTACAAAGACATTGCAGACAGTTGCATGCTTCCAGCTTAGTAGCAACAGTTGGGGGAAGGCCCACATATGCGTGTGATGGTCGGATACCTCTGACCATATAGTGTATCTGAAAGCATACAACGTGGATAATAATGCAATAAACACAAGGTCATAGCCAGGATTTTTTAAATACCAAGGTCATGAGTCCCAGTCTCCTAGGGGCATTGCCCCCCTTGGATTTTTTGAAGACTATAGCGTGAATTATGTATTTTAGTGCATTTTGAGAGCAACAATATTCACTTTGAAAATAACTTAAGTGACAGTAATGGACTACAACTGGTGGTCAAAAAGTCACCATACCTGGACTGAAATACACTTGATCGTGGCACGGGAGGCTGTCCCGTCGGCCCCTGGTGTGAGCTTGGCTGGTGAGGCCACGCCACCGGCCTCTGGCTTGAGCTTGGCTGGAGCCTTCATTTCTCCTTCATCTCCAGCTTTCCCTTCCATGCAGCAGCTCATGTTTGGCCAGATTGGCTTTGGCTATGTTCGGCCGGACTGGGTTCATATGCGAATTCTTCTGTAACATGTGGTGAGGTGAAGATGCAGGGCACAAGCACTTATACTCAGCGTGCTCTTTATTAATTAGGGCAAACCAGTAATCATTGTTCAAGTTCATATCAGGGGTCAAAACACCAGCAGGCATCATTATCCAAGGAAAAACCATAATCATAAACCAGGTACACATGCGTTGATCAGAAAACTATGAACAAGAACTAGAGAACGAGAAACAAGGCTCAGAAATGCACAATACACTTGACAAGACTTTGCACCAGTACAAATAAGCACAAGGGATTAAATGCACAGACAAATCAAGGGAAGAACTGAAAACAGGTGAGAGAAATCATGACACCCGAACATGAACCAAACCAAAACACACATGGCCATAAAAATAAACATGCAGAAAACCCAGAAGTAGCACCGTAGCACCGACAGCTGCAATATGGGCTGAGAGCTGCAACGCATACTGAGAAGCGTAGCACACGATGAGAAGGGGAATACGTGACAATGGTGCAGGGGTAGTGCTATTTGTCTCTATGTTTAGACATTCAAATCTTCCTGTTGGCCTTTTTCTTCCTTCCTTCCTTTCTTCCTCCGGGTGCTCTGCTTTCCTCCCACCTCCCAAAAACATGCTGGTAGGTGGACTGGCTATGATAAGTTGCCCCTAGATGTGAATGAGTGTGTGTGAAAGTATTTGTGTGGTGCCTTGTGATGGACTGGGTTCCCACACTATGACCCTGACCAGGTCACATGAGTTAGAGTGAGTTAAGTTCTTAATGGAAATTTGCAAATAATATCCTGACACAACTATTATTATTATTATTATTATTATTATTATTATTATTATTATTATTCAGTGGTATTGATGCTATAACTATTTAATAATGCAGTTCAAAGTCCAATCAAACTTTCTTGCTTTAAAGTTGATTTTTTTTTTAACAGTGTAAATGCCCTATTAATTGTCACGTTACTATGTAGTAAATATAATATCCACTAGATGGCAGTACCACTGTGCTGAGAAGGAACCACCACCCAAATAATATCTGCTCAAATTTCCATTGATGAACAGGTTAGGCAGGGCTGGTGGATGAACAGTGCAGTGCAACAAATTGGATAATAATTTAGTAAATATTATTCAATAATCTAGTAAATATTCAGTAAATAGCCAGTGAATATTTATATGGCTTATATGTTAGGTGGACCTGATGAAAGGTGAGTGCCAGTGAGTTTTGCTTCAAGAGGGGTGTACCATATAAACCTGCAACTGTAATATTTTATTTGTATTTATCAAAGGATACTGTGTCACAAGACCAAAACTGATATGCAAGCTGCATTACACATACTGTGTCAGATTATTAAGTACATACAGTCGGGTCAATAAGTATTTGGACACAATTTTCATAATTTTGCCTCTGTACACCACCACCACCACCAATTCAAAAGTTGTCACTGTCAGTTGCAGTATGTGGGTGCCTGTCATAGCATAATGTTCATATTACTGTTATTGTGTACTGTCCCGATATTTAGACAAATTGTTTGATTTTTGGCAATTGTTCCTGAAACTTTCATGACAATAAATCCTCTTTGAATTGAATTGAATTGAATTGAAAACAAAATGCTATGCTACGACAGACAACCATGCAACAACATCCGAAATAATCATTAGCAAATGTAATCATATTCATAACTATAACAAGCTTTTACTGCAGTTCTGCGTCTGTCCAAATGGTGTTGCCAGATTTGCTACCCAGATCGGGCAGCGACTCACATCCATGAACTGCTCTTACAAGGACCATGTTGCAACAAGGCAAAAGTGTGAACTCGTCGAGCTATTTGAACACACCTAAGGTAAGGTCAGCTAAGTTAATGTTAAGTTATGTTTATGAATTTGTTTAGTGTTAGCTTTTTTGTGTTTTTTTGCAAACCAACTTCAATGCTGTGGCTAGTTAGTGTTACCATCTATGCTAGCTTCATTGCCCACTCATGGTAACTAGCTAAGTTTAGCTAAATGTTGGTCTCAGTCTTAGTTAGCGTTAGGAGATAACCGAGTATTACTTTTGAAAACTGCCATAGAATAAGAAAATATTCACAAACCTATGTAGATGTCTGTTTTACAGATGGCTTACTTGAAAATATGGCGAAAAAGAGGACTAGATCATCTTCTGCAAGATTCAGACAGTGATAGTCTGCCGGGCATTCCAAATATCCACTACAAATGAAAATTACATTGAAATAAAAGTGAGTTTTAATTGAATGCAGTGTGAGACTGTTTGTTTGGTCCAAAAACAGTATAAATGATGTCTAAAATGAGTTGACGTTATGAGATATAAAAAAGACGTGGAAAAGACGTCCACAATGACCACATTTGAACTAATTTTTAACCTTGTACAGAGGTCCTGTGGACCTCAACATTGGACTCCTCAGGGGACGCTCTGGCTGCTGAATGGGACATCTTTTACACATTT